CCCCGTACGCAGAGAGGACCCCCGACTAACGATGTATTGTACTAAACGGTGCAAAAATAAAATATCGCCTGTTCAGTTGCGCGCGAGCCCGACCGGGGTGAGGAGGTCGATCCCGTTGTCACCGCAAAGGCTTCCAGGTCCCGAGAGGAATTGGCCAAATCTTCGCCCGTCAAGGGATTAATTGAAAAACGGAAACGTGAATTCTTTCCAAGCTGCAGCCATAGTGAGGGCTCGGATACTTTTAAGGCATCTTCCTTTGGATTGGCATAGGTAATTAGCCCTGTTAATTAGCCCTTGTCCCTTGATTTCGTGTGGTTTCTTCCCCAATATCAGGACATATATTTAAATTTAAGGTTCCAGGCCCATACCCCTTCGGTGGTCCCCAGCGATGCCCTGTTCTCCCATATGAGACCACGACCAGGCCTGTTCTAAAACTGTGGTTATTATCAGAAGAATAATGGTGCGGGTTTTTTTCCTAATTTTTCCCCATTAATTTAATTGTTTGATGAGTTCTGGCAGGGGATGAGCTCTTCGGCTCATTAGTGGCTTCCCAAATACCAGCAGGACAGGAACCACCTTCTTCCAACCACGAAAAATCCCCCCGTTTTCCCAGCCCTCCTTTTCCAGTTCTTCGCTCCCCAGGGCATGGGGACACCGGGTGTCGGGGACATTGGGACACAGGACGTGGGCACAGGGACATCGAGGACATTGGGACACGAGGACCTTGGGACATCGGGATACTGGGTGTCAGGGACATTGGGACCTGGGACACAGGGACATCAGGACATTTGGACCCAGGACACAGTGACATTGGGACGCTGTGTCTCAGCGACACAGGGATCTGGGACACAAGGACATCAGGATTCGGGACACAGGGACATCGGGACAGAGGGTGTCGGGGATATCGTGATCCAGGACACGGGGGCACCAGGACATGGGGACATCAGGGCCAGAAGGACACGGGGGCCATAGGGACATTGGGTGTCAGGGACATTGGGACCCAGGACATGGCACGTTGGGACCCGGGACACAGGGATCAGGGACACAGGGGTGTTGGGACACAGGGATCAGGGACACAGGGGTGTTGGGACACAGGGTGTCAGGGATATTGAGACCCGGGACATGAGGGCACAGGACACGGGGACACTGGGACACAGGGTACTGGGGACATCAGGGCCCAGGGCCATCAGGACACTGGATGTCAGGGACACAGGGAATTTGGGACACTGGGTACTGGGGACATCAGGATACTGGGTGTCAGGGACATCAGGACTGGGCGCACAGGGACCCTGGGAGCCAGGGCCCCGGCACAGGGGGCTGCCTTCCCGCCCCATCCCATTGATCCCAGCCCATCCCAGCACAGCCCATCCTCCACCACCCCCTTCCCACCCCAATTCCATCCATGCCCCCATCCCTGCCCCACCGCAGCCAACCTGGCCCCCCCCCCCCGCCAGGCTAGCAGGGACCCAAGCTGTGGGGCAGTTTTGGGGGGGACCCCAGCCCTGTGGTCCTGAGGGTCCCGGCCATGCTTGGCGGGCGGGGGGAGGGGGCTGTGGGGGTCCCATCCAGCTCTTTATTCCCAGCACACACACAGGCTTCGGCAACGTCCTGGGGGGGCCGTGGGGACACGTGGTTGGGGGTCACAGGGGGGCTATGGGGTCCTAAGCAGAGGCCAGTGGGGCAGGGTACAGGCAGGATGTGGCCGGGGGGGATGGAGCAGCCCCCCCCCCCCCGCCCCACCTCATCTCCCGGGCCAGTAAAGCACGAAGCCGTCGCGGCTCTTGCCGAAATCGGGGGTGACCGCCCCCGGCCGCGTCTCCACCGTCAGCAACCGCCGGCGCCCACGTAGGCTCAGCTGGATGCAGTCGGAGACCCGGACCTGCAGCTCCCGCTTGGTCCTACGACATGCCGGCATCAACGGGGTGTGGGGGGAGCTCACGGGGTCCCAGGGACACCCCCCCAACCTCTCCAACCCCGATCCCCCCAACTCACGCTTGGCAGTGCTCCAGGAGGACGCCCACCAGCTCGCCCACCCGGTTGTCCTCCGCCGGTTGCATCTTGTGCAGGCACACGGCCAGGTCATCCTGGCTCTGGGTGTGGAAGACCACCAGCTGCGCCTGGCAGCTCGTCACGCTCAGCCCCGTCACCTGCGGGGACATCTGGGTGTCACAGCTGCGTGGTGGCGGGGGGGGCTTGGGGCCATGGCATGGGCAGCGTGGCGTGGCCAAGGCACCGTGGCCAGTGTGGTGAGGACAGCTTGGTGAGGACAGCTTGGTGGGGACAGCATGGCATGGCCAGCGTGGTGGGCACGGCGTGGTGGGGACAGCATCACGCCTCTGTCCCAGGGGAGTTCACCGTCCTGATGCAGATGGGGCCATGGGGACCACGGAGGGGTCTTCAGCCTCCAGGTGGGAGCGGGACAGCCAGGACACCTGGGTCCCCCTCACCGTGGCTCGCCGGGACAGGGTGTAGGGGACACCGGTGGGTTTGGGGACACTCACGGTGCTGAGGGGCAGCGCCCGCATCACCCGGTACTGCTTTCGAGGATCCAGCTTGTAGAGGTGCTGGTCCGTCACGAGGATGGCCCGGTCCCGGCTCTTACTGAAGCGGTTGATCTGCGGGGATGGGGATGGGGACAGGCAAGGGGACATGCTGGGACAGGGCGAGGGGGTGACACCAACACGGTGGCCGGCAGGACCACCCGCTCCCCTCACCTTGCGGACGTGGCAGGAGAAGAGGACAGAGCCGAAATGCACCTTGTCCTTGAGGGTCTGGAGGCGGCGGGCGAAGGGCAGCGCCTGCCCTGGGTTCTCACTGGGCTGTGGGGAGCCGAGGTGTGGGGTGGGGGTGGGACCCCCAGGATGTGCCGTGGGGCACCCCCAAACCCGCTGGCAGCCCTTACCGAGGAGAGGTAATCCCGTGCCCAGCTGCGCTGGCAGCCCCAGTCCTTCCGCAGCCCTTCCAGTGCCTCCATGGCGGCCACCTTGGCCCGGATCTGCCCCATCTCCGAAGGGGGGATGTTCTTGACGATCTGTCGTGCTCGCCACCTGCGGCGGGGGGGATGGAGCACGGTCACGTCACCGTCCCACGTCCACATCCCACGCGTCCCTGTCCCAC